CGAATATAGCTTTTCAATTGGATTCAAGTCAGGACTACTTGCTAGGCACATGTGTTTCCGCCAGAAGCATGGAATTTTCTCTAGCAGCTACCTCCGAGTCTCCACAGCTGCATGAAGAATGATCCTTAACATGTCCGAATATTCAGCATTCACTCGTTAACCATGTGGTTGAGTGTGAAGGTCTGAAAGTCCTCCAAAGGATATTGCTACTCACACAATGACTGTAGGAATAAACTTTGGAACTTCAACAATCTTTACCACATTACGACTTGGGGCCCAAAAACGTCCTTTTTGTGTTTGACGAATGGAACGGTTCATACGGTGACTCACCGGAGAAGACGAATGGTTTCCAGTCTTTTCCAGTCCACCTCCTGACCACCCTACAGAATGTAATCCTGTGTTCGATCTGTTTTTTTCTGTTAGTCTATGGATTTTCCTTCTGTAATGGGTGGTAATACCCAAAAGTTTACGCAAATACCGATGTACACTAGGCTTAGAACCCTTCAGGCATTTAGCATTCAGTTTCCTTGCGAGTTTTCCTGTGATTTACCTTGGCCTACCAATGGATTTTGCAATAAAGTTCCTTTCAATTATTCTCATATTTTTGGTCTTCCGGAGTGAGAATACCAGTCCACTTGAATTGTGACTACTAATACTTGACTGTCCGTATAGATAAGGCATAAAGACCCCAGGCACTGCTTTTTACAGGTTCATAGTTTGCTATTCTATCTGTACTGTTGTAGCAATTCAGTAAACAATGTGTGCAATTATTTGTGTACAAACAATTACCAACCAATGGGGTTCAGGAATACATGAAAAGCATTGCCGAATGTTTACTTTTAAATAAATTATCTAACTTTCAAGAGGTGCAAATAGGTATGCAACACCTTTTTAATAGGAAAACAAGAATCGCAACGCCCCCACGTGATTCACGAGCAAAGCCTGTTCCTTCCAGTTATTTCTGCTTCATAGTACATCCGAGTCAACTGCACACCACCGCCTACTAACAACTGTGGCACAATGCTCCATAAATCGATAAACGTATGATTGCATCAATCTCGTGACAGCAACGCCAACTTGACTCTGCACATAAGCACCTGCCCCTCTGGCGCAAGGGCGCACACCCAATTGGAACGCACGTGGCACGCAAGGAAATTATGCAACACACCAAGACCAAACAGCCTTCGCCGTGCACTCATTTCAGCTCAGCCATGCCTGCCGACGAGAGGCGAAAGGTGATTGTCGTAGGCGATGCCAACTGCGGCAAGGCTAGCCTCTTGGGCGTCTTCGTCCACGGCTGCTTCCCCGAAGTCAGCACTGGTATGTCCTTTGAGGAATGCCATGCCAGTCTGACCGTGGGTACAGAAGAGGTAGGCTCGAGTCCACACACCACAGATCTAGCTTACGCTTCTAGGTCTACCTGACGTTGTGGAACACGTCGGGCCAAGAAGACTATCACAATCTGCGGCCTGTCTCCTACCTGGATGCCGATGTCTGTATCGTCTGCTTTTCCATTGGCAGCCACGATTCTCTGGAGTCGGCGTCAGAGAGATGGGCAAAAGAGGTGAGACTTTGAATTTTGTTGCGCCAACAGCGAATTTGTTCTCCTGTTTCGACAACTGTTTGTAGTTAGGCTGGCCGGCTAACCTTTTCTGTTGGATAGGTCCTAGCACAAGGCTTTCTAGCGGCTTTCAGGATGGTTCCCTACCTTTCTGGGATATTTA